TTTTTTACAATTGGTTATGACATTTATTTCTATTGTCAAAAAAAATAAAAATGGAATCAGCCGCTTGGAAAATCATTTTCCCACCAAAAAGGTGGGAAAATGAATTCCCCAAAATCATTTTTTGTCCTTTTTCTTTACTTTTATTTTTGTGGATTTCATTTCTCCAAAATGAGTTGTCTACAGCTAAATGGATAACATTGGTGTTTAAGGACCAATGACTCCACAAAACTAATGGCACGAAAAATTCTACTGAAAAAACAAAGAGACTACATTATAACAAAGTCCATAAATTAGAGACTTATATTGTAATATTTCCTCTGTGTCACTATACATCTTTAGATTCGCGTATCCTCAACTTGTCTACTTTCGTAAATGTAGTGGAATTGCATTGAATGGCTGTGTTTGATTATCATTAGTGCATTTGTAGATTTTTTCAGTAATGGTAATGTTATTTCATTTCGATCCGCAATGATGTTAAATTAAGACTAATAAACTGAGGCGGATGATGATATATGACATTATTCAGTAGCATATGATTACCACTTAGACGGATGATGATGTATGACATTATTCTTTTCAGAGTGTGGATTGTTTTTTTCAAGAAACTCTTTATTTTGAAAGAGCATCTCAATTATAGTAGATTGGAATATATAAAAATAAAATATTATGAAAACACGTTTCAGTTTTTTATTTTTGTTCTCTTGCACACGCTATTATATTTATACTAATTTGCACAAATGGTCCCTAACGTTCAGGATTTATTGTTCCAATTTTAGCACTCAATTCCTCGTACGAAACTTTTTTTCATTTTTCTATTATTTACTTTTATAGTCTTCTAAGTTAAAATTTTTGACTTTTTGAATGTCAATTAATCATCAACTAACGGAAAGGACTGTTTGCAAGAAAAGTTTCATATGAGGACATTTGTGCTAATTAGTTATTTTATTTGACGATAGGTCAAGATTGAAACGATAGGTCTTAAATTCACGAAAAAGTCTAATGTTAAGGACTATCTGTGCTAATTAGTTATTTTATTTAACGAATTTATCTGTAAGCATGGACGGACCCAGCCCGCCATCCCAGCCCGGGCGGACGTTGACCGGTCAACGCCGACGGGTCAACGTCGACAATCAAGTCTACATTGCACAGTACCAGTCTCCTGTCCATGGTCATGCATTCTGGCTAGCCCAAAATCGCCTAGTCTTGCATTCATTTCTTTATCAAGTAACACATTGCTAGCCTTAATGTCCCTGTGCAAAACTTTTGCTTCCCATCCATTGTGCAAATACAAGACACCTGAAGCCACTTGCTTTATAATTCTTATTCTTTCTTCAAAACTCAAAATTTTGCTGTCATCACATTTAAAAATCCTTTTGTCCGAACTCCCTTTTTCCATATAATCATAAACCAATATTAGGCTGCCCCTTTCTTTCTTAGACCAATTCCTCAACAATCACGAAGATATACTCGAAGTACAACATGCAAAGAGTAGACACAAAGCAGAAGCAGCTAAAAAAAAAGAACACATTGGAAAAGTCTAAAATCTTTCCAAAAGGTAAACGAGAAGAAGATGATGATAATGACATAAGAACATACAAACTTATACCCACTTTCCAAACTTTTGAGATTTATCCTTCTAGAACACAATAGAAATTGCTTTTAAGTGGTAATCCTGAACCACAAAAAAAAAAAAAAACAAAGGAAAGGAAAGGGAATCAAGGAAGATGTCAACCTTTGAGCATAAACATCTTCGACAAATCTAATTAAACTTGACAGAAAAATTTTAGGTTATAATAGCAAGGCACTGCCACCGTTATTCCTTAAACCATGAATTACTTCTATAAGGGATCTAGTGCATCAGTCCTACCAAATTACAAAATTTCTTTTTTGAAAGGTCCAAATTACAAAATTTCTTACAGCACATTAAGGAATATAATTTCATTAACTACTCTAACCTATCAATCTAATTATGTTAATAACCAAATCCAATAGTTTCCTAGTAGTGTCTAGTAAATGACAAAGATTACCTAATTTCTAACGTTTCAAATATTCACTTGACATTAGATCCTCCTTCGAATATTAGATAATTTATTATTTATTAACTTTTTCCTACACTAATTGCAGACTTGTAGTCTTAGACTACAAATTCACACTTAATGCTCAATTACATATCCCTCTAATGAAAAATAAAGTTACAGGCAAAGCCAGTTTTAATAATCACCAAATAGACTCATATTTAACAATCAAATTAAAAGATCATATCTTCACATATACAATAGAGAATGCGGTTAGAGAGAGATTTTGATCCCGGCAGCTTGACGGTACCCAAAATGTCTTTGATGGGCTGCAGGCTGCAGCACTATCTCTAGCATCGTAGACGACTTCTCTGTGGTGCCGTGGTGGCCACTGAAGCCATAATCTTTGGGGCTCGTTTGATTGGCAAAATTTCCACGGAACTAGAAAAATATTTTTTACTTTCCACTTTTNAGACAATTTATTATTTATTAACTTTTTCCTACACTAATTGCAGACTTGCAGTCTTAGACTACAAATTCACACTTAATGCTCAATCACATCTCCATTATCCCTCTAATGTAAAATAAAGTTACTGGAAAAATCAGTTTTAATAATCACCAAATAGACTCGTATTTAACACTCAAATTAAAAGATCATATCTTCACATATACAATAATATTACCTTAGAGAGGGCAGCGAGAAGGAGATGCTGTTACAGAGAGATTTTCATCCCGGCAACTTGACGGTACCCGAAATGTCTTTGATGGGCTCTAGGCTGCATCACTATCTCCGGCACCGTGGACCGTGGACAGCTTCTCTGCGACGGCCACTGAAGCCATAACCTTTACTAACCTATTTTTCACTACAAAACTTGAATCTTTACTTAAAACCCTCAAAAAATTTGATGAAATTTTAACATTTTCGGAGCTAAAAAACAAAGAATATGGGCCTAATATTCAAAAAAAAGGCCCAACTGTTTCAGTCCCAAAACAAAAGGGCCAATACATAAAAAAAGCCCAAATTCAAAAATTTCACGTCTTCTTCCCTTCTTCTTCCGTTCGATTCTGCAACTCTGCCACGGCCACTTGGTTTCTGGCGAGTGGCACTCGGCGGCCATTGAAGACTCCGGCGGATCCAGCACGGGCGGTCGCCCCCCGTCGCCGGGTGCTGGGTCCGCCCCTATCTGTTAGTAGCTTTTTAGAGTTGTCATATTTTCTCTATTTAGTTTTTTGCTTCTATAAAGCTCAAATTGTCAAGGTATCAAATATATCTCAACAATGAGATATTAACACCATATTATCCCTGGATCATCGTTGAACCTTAAACTTACTATTCTAGCCTTGATTCATATAACAAATTCAAAACTAAAACCACGACTGCCAGATGCTGCCCTCATGATATTGAGCGACAGACCTTGGACCTTTGAGTCATTGGTATTTGTCCTTATGATTGCATTCCTCCTCATCACCGACTGTATAAGTGTGATATAGTCATAGTTGTTGTAGGAGTGACCGCTACAGCTGCTGCACTATCCAAACTAGTTTTTCTTCACTTCAACTTGGATCCACCTCATAACTGTTTTCTACTTGGTAATTTTTCCAGTTATTCGACTCGAGCATGTATTACCCAATAAGTTGCATACCTCTTTCGTGCCTGAAACACGACTCTTTTTTCCTGAAGATGCAGTATTTCATGTCCATTTTAGATCAGGCTGGTAAATTCCATAGATAATTGGCCATGTTGAATGGTTTCTAAAAATAGTCTAACCATTTTTAATTCCCTGGAATGTAGTATCAATATGAACAACTCAATGTGATCGTGCTCGGATTTTTGACAATGGATACAATCTCATCACTCTCATGTAATCGAGTAACAAGTTTTGTGATTTGATGATACGCAGTTACCCGTGGAATATCATTGTCCATCAGATCCTAAGTATTTCGACATCAGTGCGTAAATGACCTCATCATCTCCAAATTTGAATTGTTTTTACACAATTATACGTACAGTTCATGTCATCTAACTGAAGGGGGGACTCCCATTATTTCCTTGTATGGGTGCAACTGAATCATTGATTGTCATTTGCTGTAAAATTTGTAAATGTGACGTGTATTAGTCGAGTTGATACCCAGCTGCCTAATTTACACCATTGCTTACTGTAAATTTCGTTTGTAGCTATTCACCAAAATTAGTTAATTTAGTGAAACACAAGTAATTTGATATTGATTTGAAGTTGTTGAACTAAGAATCCACTAGAGTGAGGCCGAATAAATGTAGTTTTTGAGACCTTTCATCATCCATGTCAAGGAGTGGTTTACTCTACTAGGGTTGACTACAACTACTTTGACAATTGAAGTTGAGTAATCTTTTTGAGCCTTACGCATTCTCTACTTTATACAGTTGGAGCGATGGCACCAATCATATAGGTTCAATGCAACCTCCACCGTCGCCATCTCTGCCACCACGATGTTCATGGCTGTCGTCCCAGGCCATCTCGTCTGAGCTGCCACCCTCCACCAGTCCCACACCAATATCATAGCCAAACTACTGACAATCATAGAAACAAGAAACGAGTAACCCTTGTTTGGGCAACTACCAGCACAAAATGATGCCTCGATAATGCACAAGACAGATGCACATGGTGAAACTCTACCAACCATTACATTGATACCATATAAAGAAATGACAGAATCAGCTAGAAATTAAACTATAGAAGATAATTAACGCCTTATCCTAATGTTCAATAATTAGAAAATCATTTATTTCAGGGTTGAAAAAGGAATGGGCCGCTAGATATTTCTGGGGACAATGCATACAACTATCTACCCTCAATAGAAATAATCAATATGAGACCATAACAGAAGCATCTAACCGAATCCGACGTCATCAAAGCAATTTGATGAGCCACAAGTGTATAAAGAAAGAATCTGGAAGATTTTTTCTACCAATCTAGAAATCCAACGATCAAAAATGCAAGTAAAATTGGACCGATCACCTGTTCCCACTTACTATCAACTAGTCTAGTAGTGGAGTGTAGAGAAATTTGTTCACAAGGACAACCACCATATAACCATTCATGAACGGATGCAAAGTTCACAGTCGAGTGATGTTGATGTTCCTTGTGAACAATATGAATTTCACAAAGCAAATCACGCAATTAGCTCAACATAAGAGCTCAGTATTTGGGTAACTATGACAGTAAAAGAAGGCTAAAGTATCGTGTTCGTGTCCTACACATTCATTCAAGATGCATTACAGAAACATCAGAGAATGAGTTCAAAGCGAAGACTTTTTCATTAATTTTATTGGGATTTGTTAGGAAAAACATAAGCCCCTAATCAAGTTAGGTCACCAAAACCAGAAATGAAAATTCAGAACACACTCTCTCATCAGCAATTAGACTATTCATATTTGCTTTTCTACCACGCATCCTAAATATAATCTATCAACGTGTAATAACTAATGAAATCAAATTACAGGGAAAAAAGAAACATTATTGACATACATATTAACAGTATTCAATTTCATCTTTTACCGCTGTGATCCTCAACTCAAGGCCTGGTAAAGACTCCCCATAGCTTGCCGCGACCAATACTGTCATGGAGCTTCTTAGCACCATCAACATTCATCTCAACTAGTTTCTGCAAATAAACACAAGCACCGGCAGCCACCATTTGCTTCCGGGATTTCTTGGAATGGACAATCAATGTTAAAATCGAAATAGGATACTTCTTGTCCAAATTTAACACCAAAGGATCCAAGAGTTGAACTGCACTCGTGATCCCCTTCTCCTCCTTTCTAAATATTCTCCGATTTCCGGCATAACCCATAAGTTTACACAGGGTCTTTGCTGCAGCCTCTTTCTCCTCAATCGCCTTACCATCTAACATTCTTGACAAAAGTGAAATGCATCCCATTTTTCCCAATTCTCTCTGTGTTTTGATACTGTAAGCCAAATCACACAGAGCATTTGCAGCTGCAATTCTCACTCCTAAAACCCCACAGTTGAACACCCCAATGACGTGATTCAGAAAGTCATTTGCAACAAGGACCTCGCTGATTAATGGGCACGAGGCCAATATTGATACCATCTGAACAATAACCTCAAGATTGCGAGGCGTGGGAGCAGAATCCCAGAAATTTTTTACCCACTCAATTCCACCTTCCCTGGCAAGAAACAGCTTCAGGTCATCGTCT